TCCACGAAATGAGAGCAAAATGCCAGAAACACACAGTTTTCGTGCATAGGACAACATAAAGAAAAGCTTACATTTAGTTTCGTAGTATTACGCATGAAACGTAGAACAAATAAAAGATAGTCATAATTTCGTGAAAAAAAATTACGAAATTAGCTCTTTAATTTCGTGATTTTTTTCAAAAAACGCAAATTTATTTTTTAAAACTTTCGAACTACTGAAAACGAACAGATTTTCAATGAAATTTGTTAATATACTAATACTACTATAAAACATTGGATTAACGAAATGGAGTTCGAGTTTTATCTTAAATCGTTGTCGAATTGCTCGTTTAATCCACGGAAATTCGAAAGGGTTTGGAGAGGGTTTGAAAGGATTTTGAATTTTTTGAAGAAAAGTTACAAATGAATCTAAGTGCACTGCAAGTCAGTAAAAATTACTCTATTGGATAGCATTTTAGATTTAAATTTACAACCTGCCATATTTTTTAGGGGTAAGCTACAAACCTGTCAAAACACGTGGTTCTAACAACTAATTGCACCACTTGATATATTTTTAGAAGGTTACACTACATAAATTTAGTGCCAACACCATTACTTATAAATAAAAATGATAATATTTTTTTTGCCTAACCATGTGATAAATACATGTTGTCACTTAAAATATTATTTTTATAACAGTTTACGTTAGAAGCATTTTCTTATGATTGTCTTTATTAGTAATAAACGTGTTAGTGGTGAATTTACTTGTTTTTGAATTAAGTCAATGGCTCGTAGATTTTAATGAGATTGCCCTTATTATAATTATGAATTTATTTAATTAGTTAGTATGTAGTAGATAACTATAGTACCTAAAATACTACTTTAGAAAATGATGTGGGACAATTTGATATCAATTTCATTGACTTGTGGATATAAATATTACATGATTGCCCACGTCTACTTGTTTTAATTACTGAAACTTACAGAAAGATAATTAATTCCAATGATTTGTTTGCACATCTAATATAATTTTATAACCTGCCATATTTTTTTGGGTAAGTTACAAACCTGTCAAAACACGTGGTTCTAACTACTAATCTTACCACTTGATATTTTTCAAGAAGGATATTGTTGTCATAAATGTAAAGATATATAAACGCATCTCTCACCCAGTAGTATATTACTATTTTTTCATCTAATTTAAGTGTTTTAAGCTTTTTGTCCTAATCATCATTACAATTTACCATATAATCAAAAGTCAAATTATATATGTTTACTTAATTTTTTGGTGATGTAATTTTTATTTTTCCATTAAATCCTATTTTTAATATCAAATACGTATATATATATATATAGAGGTGTAAATATAGGTTTTGACGTATTTAGCATATGAAATGATTATTTTAACTAATTGCATGTGATTTCCGACTTATTAGGATATTTATTGTAAATACATTAGACTTAATTAATAAATAATGCTAAAAAAAATAAATCCATATTGTTATTGTTGTTGTTGTTGGATAATTTTTCGTTAGTGTCTAATTTTTGACGTACCCAAATCATATTTTATATTCCAATTCATGAGTATTGCCTTTTTCTTAACCGATCACTATTACATTTACAAAAATTGTAGGGTCAATTTTTGTAGATACAATAACAAGAAAAACGAAAACAATTACATCATGTGAATTATATATTTTTCATAAAATTTGAAAATTGATGTCCGACAAGTTTGAGAAGATATACGATTGAGAAACAAATAATAATAAATAAATAAATAAATAAATAAAGTGATTTTGTAGCCAATGTTAATTTTGTAAGTTCATTTTTTTTCTTACGTTATTTATTTATTTGTAATTTTTCTACCCTACCCCAACGGAAAATGGATAGAAGGGGTGTATATGCCAAAAGGTTAATCACTTGGGGTGTACTTGCCAAAAGACTAAAGTTCAGGGGAGGTGGATGCAAATTTCCCTTAATTAAATACAACTAGTATACGGGTATTGAAAGCAAAACTAAGCCATTGGAGATTTGAGATATATCTTATGAACCATATATTTATAGCGTTGAAGGTAGGATGGGTTAAGTTTGGTAGGGCAACCATTCATAATCCTCCGAATCACTATCTTTACTGCAATTTTGGCATTATAATCTATTATCAATGTCCTATCAAAACTTTTGGTGTACCAAAAGTTCGGTACGATACGATATGATAATTACCAAATTGGTTTATCTACATTTTTTATATCCTTAATTGGGCCAATCCAATGGGCCTACAATTTCTTTATCTAATGGGCCACGAACCCAATATTTAAGACCACTATCACCGAAGCCCAATCACCTTTAAGGTTTGAGCCCGACAATCTCAACTAAGCTATAAATAAAGGTTTGAACTCAATCCTTAAGGTACGCCCTATTATCCAAATAATACTAGGGGTCATATTCTCCCAACTATTTCTACTATCCGCACGTCTGACTTGAGCGTCGGAGGGGTTTCCGCCGGATCAATCCCCAGCCTAGTTCACGTGTTCTTTGTTCGCATGTATCTCAGGGCCATCTAGCACGTGAGCAGTGACCCACTTTGCTTTCCCAGCTCCCTCAATCTCAACTAAGGTGATCTATTTTTAGCATCATCAATTTTAAGTCTAAATTGAATGTATTTTTTCAAACCAATTCAATATATATACTTATTTAAAATTTTCAAAACTAATACTTAAGATATAAGTAGTCTAAAATATATGTTCTTAATTTAACTAATATAAAATATTTTTTAAATAAAATTATAACATAAAAATTATTAACATCTGAAAGAATTTATGGTCCCGAATTCGTTTAATACAGAGGTGTTATCTTAAGTGTTATGACACTTGAACAAACATGCAGCGGAAATATAAAGATAAAAGAACAATACTCAGAAAAAAAATGTTCACAAGTAAAGACTTGTGAACTTGCCCTTTACAGGACGGAAAAATATATTAAAATCAGTATTCCAAGAATACAAACAGAAGAGGTGCGAAAACTTCTTCCTTATGAATGAATCATTCTCATGATCATTCTTACATTCAAATCTAGATACAAAAAGAAAAATATTAAAAATTCTAGATTTCAAAGATGTACTCGTGAGGAGTACGTAAAGAACTTATGAATGAATCACTCTTGATCATTCTTACAACCAAGTCTAGAAACATATATACTAAACAATCTAGACTACAAAGAATGTACTTATGAGAAGTACGTAAAGAATGTACTCATGAGGAGTACAAACGACCGATTCTAAAACCACTCTAAAACACTCATGTATTCTTTTCAGCTCTCGGTTTTTTATTTCGTAGAATCGATAAATTTCATTGAGTATTGAAATCGGTATTTATAGACATTTCAAGCTTCCACTCCTCAGCCCATGATCTGCAAGAAAACCAACCACAAGAGCACTCAAGAAAATGGGTTAGTGGGTTAGTTAGGAAGTTAGAATAAAATCCACAATTAAATCCACTAAGCACTACTTAGCCCACTAAGCATTATACTTAACCCACTAAGCACTATACTTAACCCACTAAGCACTACTTATTCCATAACTAAAATTTAGTTTAAAAAATAAGAAAGATAAAAACACCATGTGGAAATAATCCACGTGTTTCAACATCAATTGTATCATGATTAATGAAAGTAATTCAAAACATTTTTGGCATACTTAAAGATATAATTAATTTCAATTAATTGTAGTTAGTTGGCATATTGTGTTCGCTTTTTTTATATAAAATAAAATTTTATTTATTATTATTTATTAATAATATTTTGGTATGGACTGGTAATACCACTTTAATAATATTGAGTATCGTTGTTTTACCAAAATATCTCGGTACTCGTACAATATGATACGGTAATCATTGGGTCCAAATATTTCTGTAGATAATCAGTATAGTTCAATAAAGCGACAGATTAGTAGGGAATTTGGTAAAACAGAACCGACCCTAATTATATAGGGCCACAAATATTAATTGGTAAATATCAATATCTGATTATTGTACAACTACATATCAATCAATCCGAGAAAAATAATCAGTATTAATCAGAAAGTGTTATGAAACAAACGTTTTATGATTAGCGATTTAGTTCTCTAAATTGTTTAATTTATTTCCATTTTACATGTAATAACTATACAAAATTAGAATTTTTGTCACATTTCACCGAACATTCGATTTTTATATGTTATTTTTGATGTAGCTAACAAACTCGTCAAAATTTATTTATATGGACGCCTGAAATTTATAAATGCTCCTCCCTCTAACTTGATTTTGTAAATTCATACTCTCATATAATGAAAATTCTATCAAGACGAAGTTAGATATCTAATTTATAATTTTTCAACGTATATAGATAAGGAGGATTTGTTAAGTTTATTTGTCGCGTCATAAAATAAAAATAATCACACAAATAAGGATGATAAAAACATTATATTTGAAAATTGCTCGAGAAACTCAAACATGAAAATTCAAAGAAGTATTACCATTTACTATAGGGAAAATACAGTTTTCCTGATTCTGATTCACGATAGCATCAATTTCACATTTGGTCCCTCATGTTCACAAAAATTACATTTCGTCTCTCATGTATAAAAAAATCAACACTTTATTAGTCATTTCCGTCCAATTTCCATGAAAACTAATGGAATCGATCGTATGCCCATCAATGACTTAACTGGCAGACTAACGGTAAATTGACGGAAATGACCAAAAGCGTTAAATTATTGAAACATAAGAGACCAAATGTGAAATCGGTGCAAACTTGAGGGATGAAAACTGTAAATTTTCGATTTATTGTACTACATAATTGAAACTGGGTAGATTACAGGTAATCTGAGTAGGTGGCCATGATTTATCTAAGATAACAATTTGCAATAAAAAATAGGTAACGTGAGTACGTGCCCATGATTGTTTAAGGCAACAATTTGTAATAAAAAAAATGTTTTCTATAGTATATAGAAAGGGCAGAGGTGTGATTCATTTTCTTGCATCAGGCAAAACCATTTCTTCATATATATCTCTCTTGATTTAAATTACATAGAAAAAATAATTAGAGATATGGGTTTGACTGGGAAGTTGGTTTCGGAAACGAACATAAAATCGGACGGAGATGTGTTTCACGAGATCTTCAGACACAGACCACACCACATTTCAGACATGAGCCCTGATCACATCCAAGGCGTTGATTTACACGACGGAGAATGGGGAACCGTCGGATCACAGATCTTCTGGAACTACACCCATGGTAACACCCTACACTCCCACTTTATATTCATAAATAGATAAAATACCACCTTTTTTTTTTAAGGAGAAATACGAGGGTCAAAAGAAGAAAAAATATTTTTTTCGTGGAAGAACAATTAATCCAAATCTTATTTTGACATCAATTTTATTTTATTTTATTTTTAATGTACTTATTTATTTTTTATTATTGTTGTATATGTCACTATTGAGTATTGACTATAAGATATAGATTCCGCGCGCTCGATTTACTTACATTTGACTTATTAGTTATTACTTATTAGTGATTCAAACTAATTGTTGAAGATTTAAATTTGATGATGTATTTAATCAGAAATAGTCTGCATAAAATATTGTAGACTAGTCAAAAAAAAAAATATATATATCTAATATATTAATGGGTCTAAATTAAGATTTGTTGACGATACATAGATGTGATTAATTAACTATCCATTAAGTATACATACACGCGGGTGGGTAGATGAATGTTTGATTATGTACAGATCTACTGTTAACAATCACTAATTGTAGGATTAATTACCTATTGAAGGGATGGATGAGGAACATATACATTTTGTTCAAACCCGCGAGCTTAGTAAATTAAATGATAAACTTGGTTAATGAACTCATTATTTAATTAATTAATTCCTTAATTCCATAATTCAGAGGGTAAAAAGAAGGTGGCGAAAAATATAATTGAAGCGATAGACGAGGAAAAGAAGTCGGTGACATTCAAGGTGACCGAAGGAGATCTAATGGAGCTTTACAAGGAATTCAAACTGGTCGTTCATGTCGACACATCTGGCGAAGACAACGTCGTCACTTGGACTTTGGAGTACGAGAAACTGAGTGAGGATGTTTCCGATCCACACACTCTCATGGACTTGTGCGTGAGCATGACTAAAGATATCGAGTCTCACCATCTCTAGGCCGTTGCCTAGTTTCATGATCTTTCTCCGTATGTCGTAAACGGGTTTTTCGACTATAATGTTATTGTTATGTGGTGTTGGTCTTGTGCTTTTAAGGTTGTGTTATGAATAAAAGGGTGTTGGTGCCATTGTTATTTAATGTACTTGTGAAAGGTTAAATGTAGGTGTCTTGGCATTTTGCTAAGGTTTATCTACTTGTGATGTGAATAAACCAGATATTCATTATTTGGGTTTCCTTTTTCTTGTTTCGGACGAATTAATAGATTATCCACACACGAGTGCACGTTTTTTTAATAATTAATACTTATTTGTCTCATATTAATTTTCGTTTTTGGGTGTTTTTTTTTTCTCAAAGTATTTGTTATTTTAGAGTTTCAATAAAGCACTAATTGTATTTTTGTCAATTTTGCTCATTTATCACTCCTAATTAGTTAATTGAAAAATAATTAATGAAAATCCAAAAGAGAGTTCGACAAAACGCAATAAAAACACATGTATGAACAACAAATTGAAACATATATTTTCTTATAAGAAAAAATGGAACATGAAGTTTCTAATACCAATTAATCTTTTCTAAACTTTTAATTTACTTGATTCTTCGATATTTATATTTTCATATAAAATATATATAATCTAAGTTATATTATGGAATTACAAAATATATCATAAAATTATATTAAATATTCAAAAATCATAGAAATACTCGAAACTAAAATTGGATCGAAATCGAGATTACCGGTAATTTTATAAATTTGAAAGATTCGGAGATCAGAATTTTGAAAATCATAATGAAAAATACTATTCCAAATTCGGATATTTTTGAATTGGAAGTGGCGAAATTCGAAAATTTGATTCTGATTTCTACCCCTGTACAGTACGGAGGGAGCAATATATAGAATTAACAATTGGGATATCAAATCTACTGGGAGCAAGTAAATTTTCTACTAATCTTGTTTCCTTCTATGTTTTCTAGTAAATGTCCACTTTTAATATTCCATTTGTTTCTTATTAACTGTCGTTTTGTTTAGCTTTGCACTAGTATTAAGAATTTCAATAAATGTGTCTTGGCTGTAGAAAAAAATAAATTATAAAGACTAAAATTACCTTGATCATTTAATGATGTGATAAAAGAGAGTTAATACTTAGAGTTGAATTAATAAGGTTAAAATAGAAAAAAAATGTATTTATTACATAATTGAAAATGTAAAGTGACAGATAATATGGCACAAAATAATTTTATAAAGAAGGGGAAATGTGGGATACCCCCTAGTTTTGAAAATATATATGGATAGGTCCTATGGATTTTCTTTTCTAGTCAAAAACTCAAATTTCAATCTTAATTTGACAGACCCTCTGGAAAAATTTAAATACCTAGTTTTGTATTTATCTAGAATAGAAGTAGAAATCGACTAGGATTCTATTACCTAGTTAATCGATTTCTTAGGGCTCAAGTTAGGTTAAGGGTGGTGGATTTCGTGCCTATATAAGGCCCCCAACCTCATATGAGTCCGATGGAGCTTTACAAAGAAAAATCCCAGCATAAAGGCTTTGAAGGGTGCAGCCCGTGCTGCAGCCCTGTCTGCACGGCAGGTGTGGCAACAGAACAGGTTTCTTCTACCAGGCCATAAAGAAGATCGGCGTTTCGGGAGAAGTGCTTAAAAGATCTCGGGAGAGGTCGATCCGCCGTTTGAAGGAAGTTCAACATTGGAGGAAGTCCAAGAGTGCGGAGGAGGAATTGCTTTGATTATCAACAAGTTCGAGTCGTGTGCAAGAACGGCGTATCACATAAAGAGGGAGTCTTTAGTGTTTTATTAAGTCCTATTAATGTACACATAAATCTGAACTAGTTTTGCAAGTCCTCGTGGATGTAGGGTACGTTTGTATCCGAACCACATTAAATTGTTGTGTTCTTTATTCTGCTTTTCGTAGATTTATTACTGTGACAACACAACAATTCTGTTACGTCACCTAATGTCGTAACAAGTAGTCTGTCTCAACAGATGAGTAGATATCCATAGGCATTCAAAATTCAACAGTTACATCAGAGCGGGTCACTAGATATACTTAGTGTCCGATTTTGGGTTTTGATTTATTTGTTTTGCTTATTGGATGACGTGTGTTCACAATCTCCAACTCACTTTCTCTCTCTAACTCTCCTTTCTCTCTCCTTCTCCCTCTCTCTTTCTTCTTTCTCTCTCTAACTCACTATCTCTCTTCGGCACACAACTCTCCGCGGCCACCTCTACTCCCCACCGCCTTGCGCTGACCATCGTCGTTGCTTCCTCCCACCTCATTGCGCCGCCGACGTTGCTCTCCCACAGCCTTGCGCCGCCGCCCCTGCTCGTCCCACAGCCTTGTGCCACCGCCACTTTTCGCGTGCTCGACGCCAATCGCCGCCTTGAATCACCCGCCCAAATCGAATATACTCGGTGATGCAAAAAACATGATGGATGAGGGTTTGTTTGTTTTAAATTCGTTTTAAATCTCTTTCTACTTCCGTTTGAAGAAATAGTTTCTACGTTATTGTTTTATTTACTTTTTAGGGACGGCTCAAACCAGATCTATTATTTCTTATAAAATAAAATACATATCTACTATGTTTTTCAAGATTTGTGAATAATTAATATTAAAATCTTATTCGTTGCATTAATTTGATTTTTTATTTTGTTTGATTCTTATTTTGTTCATTTTTGTTATAATTCATATGTAATTTATTTTTTTGTATGTATTTGAAAATGATCCGAAATACCTTAAATGTGAGAGCTTTGCTTGTCTGTAGTAGAAACTTAATCAGTAGTGGTTATTTAAATGGATGATTTGGTTGAGTGCTAAATATAACTGACTCTAGAATTTGTAGTATTTAATATGTAGTCATATGCAGTCTGTTGGCACCAAATTTCTGTTAGTGAAGATTGAAGAAATCCGTCATACGTGGAAACTAAAGATTGACAAAGATTTGTTTTCCATGTTTATTTTGGAATTAATTAGAGTCCTATTCTTGTAATATTTTTATTAGGACTTAGATTTATTTTCATGTATTATATTCTACTTAGGTATCTTTTGTACTATCTAGAATAGAAGTAGAAATCGACTAGGATTCTATTGCCTAGTTAAATCGATTTCTTAGGGCCCAAGTTAGGTTTAGGGTGGTGATTTCGTGCCTATATAAGGCCCTCAACCTCATATGAGTCCTATGGAGCTTTAATAAGAAAAATCTCAGCATAAAGGCTTTGAAGGGTGCAGCCCGTGCTGCAGCCCCGTTGGCACATCAGGTGTGGCAACATAACAGGTTTCTTCTACCAGGCCATAAAGAAGATCGGCGTTTCGGGAGAAGTGCTTAAAAGATCTCGGGAGAGGTCGATTTGCCGTTTGAAGGGAGTTCAACATTGGAGGAAGTCCAAGAGTGCGGAGGAGATTGCTTTGATTATCAACAGGTTCGAGTCGTGTGCAAGAACAGCGTATCACATAAAGAGGGAGTCTTTAGTGTTTTATTAAGTCCTATTAATGTACACTTAAATCTGAACTAGTTTTGCAAGTCCTCGTGGATGTAGGGTACATTTGTATCCGAACCACATTAAATTCTTGTGTTCTTTATTCTACTTTTAGTAGGTTAGTTACTGTGACAACACAAGAATTCCGTTACCACACCTAATGTCGTAACACGTAGTCTGTCTCAACAGATGAGTGGACTTTGATAGGGCATTTAAATTCAACACAGTCATATGTAGTCATGGCTACATATAACTATACATGACTATAGAATTTGTAGTATACTATAGTCATTTATAGTCGATTTCAGTATGGTAAATTTATCAAAAAAAAAAAACAACCAATGTTTTTTTGTATTTTTTCGTGTAATAAAATGAATTGCTTGATGAATTATTTTCCTTGAGTTGGGTGGCGGAGTAGAACGGTGGTGGGAGATTTTTTTATTTTTTTTTTATATATTTACTGCAGTTATAAGATGAAAATTACCTAGTCATATATAGTCACATGTAGTAACAAGAAGGAACATAACTACATGTGACTATAGTTGACTATATAGTCACATGTAGTCATGTATAGTCACATGTAGTAACAAGAAGGAACATAACTACATGTGACTATAGTTGACCATATGGGGTTATAGTTCACTAAAGTAAATGTGTCAAAAGAAATGCTTTTCATTGTTTTTGTATTTTAAAAAATTTCACGTAATTCACTTGTTCCATTTTTGTTCTTCGTTTTCTTTAACTCGTATTTTTTTCTCACAGATTTTGCTATTTGTATAACTTGCAGAGAAGTGTCATGTGAAGTTACATTGATGCTACAGTACTCCTGACTTTATGTCACTATACATAAGTATAGATAATTGTAGATAACTATAGTCATATAGTTACATGTATGCCTAATGTTTTTTAATGTACAATAATTTTTGTTTATGTATGAAGAATATATGCATGTGATTGTGTTTTTTCATTTGTTGGTTAGTTGATTTATAATATCAAGTTTCAAATTGTGAATTTTATTATTGTTGTAGATGAATTTTGGGGTAAAAAGACAGTACATGACTACATTAAACTATACATGACTATATAATTTGTATACTATAGTCATGTGTAGTATACTTTCAGGACAGTAAATTTATTAAAATTTGAATTAATAAAAAAAATATAAATTAAAAAATTGAAAAATTAAAAAAAAAAATTAAAACTAAAAAAATTAAAAAATTAATAAATTGAAAAAATAAAATAAAAAATAAAAATTAAAAAATAAAAATTAAAAAATTAAAAAAATTAAAAATAAAAAAAATAAAAAATAAAAAAGGTAATATATAAAAATTAATAATTAAAATAAACATTTATATTTTTTATAAAAAAAATCTGTAAAAATGATAAACGCAGGGTCCAAAAATACTAAATGCAGTTGGCTTATAGCGCTGAATGCAGTTGGCGAAATTACTGAGTGCAGTTGAGCGAAAATTGCATTTAAGGGCACAATAGTACTTTTACCTCTACAGAAGGTATCTCAAAACAAGATTTTTAGGAGTGAACTTATTTCTATATATTTTTCATATGAGGGATGTATATCAAATGGACCCTATAAAGAAGCAATTATTATAGAGTAGGGGGACATGTAGAATGACACAAACTTGGCCGACCCCATTTTAACTATGATTTTTTCAAATAAAATCGGGTAGAGTCATCGGTCTTCGGGAAGATCAACCAACTCAGTTGACAATCCTA